ACACACAATATGCCAAACCGCAACCCTTCTCTCCTTGATCTCATCCTTGTCTCTTCAGCAGAACACGTGGCTAAACATGGTCAGTGCTCAGCTGACTCGTTTTCCTATCACGACCTTCTCTTCCTGTCCTATAAAACTCGTACTCCTAAAGCAAAATCCAAAACACTTTTACTTCGTAATTTTCGGGGTATGAATCTTGATGATCTTCGCGGAGATGCCGATAGCATCGATTGGAGTATGCTTTTCAACTCGCGATGCATTGACGAAAAAGTTACTTACTTCACGGAAAAATTGATTGCTTTATACGACAAACACGCACCTTTTTGTCTTATTAGGGTACGACATCTACCAGCACCTTGGTTGACAGATGAAATCAAAGAGTTGCAGAGAAAGAAGGAGAGGGCTCATTCCAAGTACAAGCGTCACTCTAGTACCTCAAATTGGGATAAATTTGTCCTTATTAGAAATCACTGTAATAAGGTGTGTAGAAATGCACAACGCCGACACATTCACAAATCTATTGAAAACGGTGATCCAGCTAAAGTCTGGAAATTTCTCAAGTCATTAGGGGTCGGTAAATCACACTCAGATTCTGCTTCTAAAAATGTTGATATCAATTCCCTAAACACACATTTTTCTGCTCCTACCAATTTTGGAGGGACTACCAAAACTACTACTTTAAATTATCTTTCATCTCTGCCGACTCCTAACTGCCCTTCGTTTGTTTTTAGTCAATTTTCTGCTTGTGATGTCAAGAAGAGCGTAATATCTATAACTTCTAATGCAGTAGGAACCGACAACATCAGCCGTAATATGGTACTTCCTATCCTAGATGAAATTCTACCTGTGATTTGTCATATCCTTAACTATTCCTTATCCAATAGTGTTTTTCCATCTGCATGGAAAAGTTCTCAAATTATTCCTCTCCCTAAAAAAAGTAATCCTTCTTCTCTTTCAGACTATCGTCCAATATCCATTCTTCCCTTTTTCTCTAAAGTCCTCGAACGTCTTATCTACACGCAGCTTAATTCATTTCTTACAAAAAATTGTCTCCTAAATCCTCTCCAATCAGGCTTTCGTTCCGGCCACAGTACTACCACAGCTCTTATTCATATTACGGAGGATATCAGGTCCAACATGGAGGAAGGAAAGTTAACGGTCCTTGCCTTGCTTGATTTCAGTAACGCTTTCAACACCGTTGATTTTGATATCTTGCTCGGAATATTGCGCTCTCTTAACATATCTCCAACAGCAATTGACTGGTTTCATAGCTACCTGTACGGTCGTCAGCAGCGTGCTTGTATTGAAAATAATTATTCCTCTTGGTGCACAACATCTGCGGGCGTACCTCAGGGCGGCGTGCTATCCCCATTACTCTTCGCAGTGTTTATCAACTCCATCACTGATCGCTTACTTTCTTCCTACCACCTTTATGCAGATGATCTTCAAATTTACACTAAAGCTTCACCAGCTATACTATCTGAAGCTATCAATGACATTAACAGGGATCTGATACAAATATGTAAATGGAGTAAGGAGTATGGCCTAAAAGTAAATCCATCAAAAACTCATGTAATTGTATTAGGTAGTCCTAGGATGAGCTCCGCAGTAAATTGGCAAGAACTGCCAGCTATCTGTTGCGATGGGTCCATTATTCCGTTTAGCGACAAAGTCAAGAACTTGGGAATCTATATGGATAAGTTCTTGTCCTGGGCCCCCCAGATTGGTGAGGTCAGTCGTAAATTATTTGCTGCAGCGGGATCTCTGCGAAGACTTCGTAACTTTCTTCCTACCGATACAAAAATCTCCCTAGCACAATCTCTTCTTTTTCCCATCCTGGACTATGGTGATGTTAGCTATCTAGATCTCTCCGAAGACCAATTAAATAAACTTGAGCGTCTCCAAAATGTCTGCATCAGATTCATATTCGGCTTGCGCAAATATGATCATATTTCTGAGTATCGAATTAAGCTCAAATGGTTACCTATACGCCTTCGCCGGAATGTACATATTCTTTCTATTCTATACAGTACTCTGTTCCTCCCACATACTCCAACTTATCTCAAAGAACGCTTTGAGTTTTTACATAATTCACATTGCAGGTCCTTGAGATCGTCAGAGAATCTGAAGTTAAAAATGCCCAGGCACACCACACAATTTACTGACAAATCGTTCTCAGTGCAAGCAGTGCGACTGTGGAATAATCTACCGGAAGTAATTAGGCAAGCCAAATCACTGCAAACATTTAAAAAGCTAGTCACAAATCATTACTTGGCATCATAGAGGAATTTGTGTATTTATGTAACTCTGCCTGTATGTTTTTATATAAGTTGTATGTATTTAAATATATAATATACCTACTGTAAACGTATATATTAGTAACCTTGTGTTTCTTATATATATTATTATATATATTATTTAGTATAGTATTTATATTATATATTATTTAGTATTTTTTATTTAGTTTTTCAATTTGTTGTAATTGTACATCCCAGGCTACCCTAATTTTGTTGACAATATCCGTATAATGGTTGTCTGTAAGAGATCGCCGTGAGCGATAAGACCGCCTATTGTTATACCGAAATGTATTTAATATCTGTATATATAATACTTCCATGGTGTACAATAAAGAGACAAATAAATAAATAAATATTGTTCGAAGTATGAAAATAGATATATGTAATAACGACATTAACAAAATGAAATAATTAAATTAATAAAAAGTATTTACGAGTATAAACTAACATAGTTACAATGAACAAAAATGTTTACACATTAAATAAGTACATAAATAAGTAGGGTCCGCTACATCACCCCTTGAGACCGTCCTACGGGCGATAATAGTCAGGAAAGTGCACTTTGCGCCCTGACCGCGTCCTTCTAACATTAAGTTCCTCAGGATCAGGTTGACTGGGAGTCTGGGATGAGTTATGTAGTAGCGGCGTGTATGATGTATGTTGGTTTGTGTCTGAATTTAAATGTGTATTTCTGGTGTGTGAGTCATGCAATATGTAGGCTGGTTTAATACGGTCTACTGATACTGTGACTTTTTTACCGTTCATAAGAATAGTTACAGTATAGAATAGTAGAACACTTTATCGTTCCTTTGAAGTACCTCGTAGGGGCCTGTATATGCAGGTTTTAGGGACCCGCGGTTTATTTCTTCCCTAAGTAAGATGTGGGATGCTGTGGCGAGATCTTTAGAAACGAACACTGTTCGATTCCCGTGTCGTGATGCTGGTAATGGCTGTAATTGCCTAGCAAACATACGAATTCGTGACAGGTAGTCGGTCACGTCATTAAATTCGCTTCCTTGGGACTCTAAAAACTCTCCAGGTAATCTAAGGGTCTCCCCGTAAACAAGCTCGGCTGGAGAAGCTTTAATGTCTTCCTTATAAGCACTCCGTATACCAAGAAGTACTAGTGGGAGAGATTCAACCCAGTTATCAGTGCCGTGACATGTAATTGCGGCCTTCAACTGCCTGTGGAATCTTTCCACCATACCGTTACAGGCTGGGTGGTAGGCTGTGGTACGCTTGTGTTTAAAGCCGATTAATTCTGATAGACGTTTAAACAAAGCTGATTCGAATTGTGCCCCCCGATCGGTGACGATATCCACGGGACATCCAAAACGAGCTATCCATCCATATAGTAAGGCATTGACCACAGTCTCAGCGGTGATATCACGTATTGGTATAGCCTCTGACCAACGTGTGAATCTATCAACAGCTGTGAGACAATACCTATATCCATGAGACATAGGCAATGGACCTACCAAATCTATATGGATGTGCGCGAACCTTGTTCGTCGTAATTTATATGTGCCGACCGGTGATAAGGTATGCCGAGAGACTTTGGACCTTTGACAAGCTAGGCATGCCTGTGTCCATGTTCTGCAGTCCTTCCTAATACCCGGCCAAACATATCGTTCAGCAACAAGTTTGGGAGTTGCTTTAGTACCTGGGTGGCTAAAGGAATGCAGACTCTCGAAGACTCGATGACGAAGTTCCTGTGGGACGTATGGTCGGGGGGTGTTGGTACTCACGTCACAGAACAGTTCAGTATCCAGTGTTCCCGGAACTCTGACCTTTTTCAAGCACAATGATGTGTTACGTACCAGTAGTCTGCCTAACTCCGTGTCAGAGTCTTGATGCTTTGCCAACTGTTCTAAGTCTACTGGTATAGCAATTTCCTCTATCCTGGATAAGGTATCTGCGACAACATTGTCCTTACCAGATATGTGCCTAATGTCAGTGGTAAATTGGGATATAAAATCTAGATGCCTGAATTGTCTGGGCGAGGAGTTCTCCTTACGGGAGTGAAATGCGTAGCACAGAGGTTTATGGTCAGTAAATACTACAAAGTCCCTTGCCTCAACCATATGTCGAAAATATTTTATTGCCTCATAAATGGCTAATAGTTCACGATCATAGGGTGAGTACTTACACTGTGAAGGACTTAGCTTCCGGGAAAAGAAAGCAAGAGGTTGCCATACGCCATCACCTCGCTGCTGTTGTAGTGCTGCGCCTAATGCCGTGTCTGAGGCGTCAGTTACTATGGCCAACTTGTACTGGCTATTTGGGTGTGCTAACAAGGTAGCATTACATAGGCTTGTCTTGCAAGCCTTGAAAGCTTCATGCTCGTCCTCGGTGAATGTAACAGGGTGGGAACCCTTTACAGAACCTTCCAGTAGCACATTCAGAGGCGCTTGTTGCTGTGCAGCGCCAGTACATAAATAAGTAGGGTCCGCTACAGAGGGAAGTGGATTTACTGTATTTCCAACGGGTTCCAAGACAGTTTAATTTCTTCCTGGGACTTCCCGAGTGTCATAACTCGGTGTGTTTGTGGGTCACTGCTGTGGATCCTGGTGTACAGGAGTTACAGTGGTGGGCGTGTGGGGTGGGATTAGTCCCATAAAAAAAAATACTAATTATTTACTACGAAACCTGTTTGAATTTGAATGAATAATTAATCAACATCGGTAGCCAGCATTAGCTAAAATGTTGTTAGACGACCACATCCTTAGCGCTTTTCCTGATTACCGTCATTCAATGCTAAAGGTATGCCGCATTCCTGTGTATGTGAGTGCCTATTCTGGTCAACAGTTAACAAAACTTATTTTATTCCAAAGATTTACGTTGTTAATCTCTTGCTCTATATTTTCTTATATATATTTAAATGTTAAGTTGGTTTGTGTCATAATCATCAACAGTGTTTAATAGACCTCTCCTTAGAAAGGAGGTTTTCGCCTACTATTATATTATATATAAGTACTATTTATTATTATATATAAGTAAAGGAATTTAAATCTAAGAGGTCTTAGCTGTAGTTTAAATGCGTTGGATTAATAATGTTATTTATTATGCAATTATTTACCACAAACAAATCTAAAAATATGAAACTAATATGTTATTGTGTAAGTAACAACAGAATAGAGACCTTGTAACAGTTATTTTTTTATTATATTTGTATTGCGTAGTGACACCTGTTGCCCCGCGTCGCATTTATTGATTTATCCAAAGTAGATTGTAACTATAGTATTGATGTCTCTTCGTCCGCCATCGGACCACTAGATGGCGTTGTTTTTTTGGTAAGTCGTAGTAATAATTTATCCTGACAAATTGTATTGGTGTTAAAAGTGTCCTGTTATGGTAGAGAGCGGGTTACTGTTGAATTGAGTCGTGTTACCCTCGATGATAATTTGAATGACAATTTAAAATGATAAAGAAGGGATTCTTTCTAGAAATTTCACAAACCGAGCATATATAAGTCCGGCTTTCAGCCGCAGGGGACACTCTGGTGATTCTAGTCTTCCGATCTTAAGTAGTATTTTGTTTGTCTGGTAATTCATTTTATTTCTTTGTCCTAAGTACCCACGTCAGTGGTAAGTTAATCTTAATTTTCTTGTAGTCATTTGTTTCTGGAACCTGAACGATTATATGAGTGCTAATCCATTCGTAGGGCTCCAGATTTCGGGTCAAGAGAAACAATCTCAGACGGCGTGCTCTTTTGGTTTGTGGCCTTCTTGTGCGTAATCGAGCTACTCAGTACCCTCTGGTAAACTAGCAGTCACGCGGCTCACCAAGCAAGCGGTCAGCCTCAATCAAGGGTTACGTAATTCTTGTTAATGTAATTAATATAAATATTGAACCTTCCATTATACCTAATATAAATAGCCGACTCGGGCTGGTTTGGAAGTGGCCTGCTGGATTGATGACGAGGAGGCTCCGAGCAGCATCAGCTCGGCATTGACGCGCGCCGCTGCGGGTTTTTTTTTATATACCCACTATTTTATGTTTTTTTTAAATTGTAACTCTGTATTTAGTTGACCTCCTTTCTAAGGAGAGGCCTATGTCCAGCAGTGGACTAGTATAGGCTGTTGATGATTTAGTTGAAATATACATGTATGTATGACTGAGGTGTAAGTTGTCTTTCTCTGAGTCCCTTAGGTTGCCCACACGCACACCCTTCTGTTTTCGACAAGGCGCCCTGAGGTAATCTCGTGTATTTCGCCGCTGGGTAAGCCGGTGAGTAGTCCGCCTGACACGTAAAGCGGATACAACCTCCGTCGCCGTATATACATATAATGTCTAATTACATAAAAGGATGCATCCTCAAGCAGGATTAGGTGCAATTCAGATAATTACTGTGGTTTCTCTGTTTGTATACCTGATTTCTAGTATATAGTATGTTGTAAAGGATTTGAAAATCCATGAAGATTTTGTATTGCATGTGATATTGTAGCTTTTATTTAAAAAAAAAACCAGATGTGTGTTAGCTTAGCAACTAGCTTATCACGTTAGGCAGCAGCTTAACTCTATTTTAAAATTCATTAGACGTGATTAAAACCTCAAGTGTTTTTCGTATGTATTTGAAACCGGATTGCAATGGTTGTTGTACCGCAGATATTTCGTGTGTTCTTCTTTCCTGTTCGTTACTCCCTTTCAGAAGTGTATTTCGGGGTTGTTCAGCGTACTAAATAATTTTGATTGACGTCATAACTAACGTAAATACTTTCATATAATTACTGCTCTTTATCTTTAACTTTCAAACAACATCGTCATCATTTCATCTTTCTTTAACTTTCATCTTTATCTTTTTCTGTAACTTTATCATTAAAATGTCGTATGTGCGGACCATTAGCCTATTTTAGCGAACACTTAGTTAAAGTGTCTCAATTTTTTAAAACTTTACCAATCAGGTCATCAATTCGAAACGTACCTATTTAATAATACGTTATATTATTAGTTCTGCAAAATATCTCATTTATGGCAATTTAAATGGGCTTTCCAACAAATATATTATTTCTTTAAAGTGGATATTGTTATTTCTGTAAATGTATCCGTATTTTAACTTTCAACCGTACTCTGTCACATATATACATGACAAATTAGACGTATATGTGTGTAATATTATTGAATCTGTAAAAAAAATACAAATGATGTCTTGAAACATTTAACAATGAACTGACAAAGAAATTAAGACGTAATAATGTTTTGACTTAAAGTTTGAAGATCGCCAATAAATAAACTCACAACAAAACATAACATATTACAGGTGAATATGTAGACGTTGTTGTGACATCTGACAACCTCAAAGTTGACAATGTCATCTAAAGTGAGTATTGGTCGAGTTTGATCACTTAGTACCAACGTTACCCTGATGCAGATAATAATATTGTAACCAGCACTAAGGGTGACTTTGTCATGTAAACGAGCAGTTTTACGACTTCGCGACTACAACCCATGACGTCATCATGCTCATTAATGGGTCAAGTAGGTCTCCTTAGCAACAGTATTAATTCATTTTAGGAAGTTATATCTGTTATTTGATTATATTAATGAAAACAGGGTTGGTCAATAGATTATTTCCATGTGTGTCCAAGTAAATTTCTTTAGTGTACGAGTTACTCTGAAGATAGATCATCATCATCATCTCAGCCGAAAGACGTCCACTGCAAGACATAGGCCTCCCCCAAGGATCACCACAACAACCGGTCCTGTGCTGCCTGCCTCCAACGGCTTGCCGCGACCTTCACCAAGTCGTCTGACCACCTTGCCAACGTATACCACGTTGGCAAGGCCAAAACCTTCCTTCTTAGGAGAGGCCTACGTCCAGCAGTGGACCGTTAAAGGCCGTTGATGATGATGACGATAATAGAGGGTGTAATTTTTTTCATTGCTATACGCAAATACTGTTTCCCTTGTAACAAAAACCTAATTAATTTACTATAATTTTATGCAACTCGTAACTAGTTACCGGAACGATTTTGGATTAGTCAATGCCAAAGTGTTACAACTCTTATTTACGGCACACGTACAATAAACAAGAAATATCACCTAACAGGTTTGCAGAGGTTTTTACATGTATTACACAGTTAATATTAATTTACTCTATATAGCTAATTCCTTCGTATGTAAGGTTTTGGATAAAAAAATAGGCAATTCCTAGATTGTCAATTGATTATCTGATTTTTTTAAGCTAATCGTTCTATCAATTTGAAATGTCATTGACTGACTGACTGACTACCCAAGGAATGTAAGGTTTTTAACATGGTCAGGTTTTTAATTCGGTGATTATTTTCAGTGTTAAATACCCTTCCGCTGACTCGTGTGGGAGGGACTACAAGGGCGGCAACGCACTTGTGACTTTTGAGTTAGGTGTCCCGCACAGGTGTCCATGGGTAGCGGTAGTTGCTTACCATCAGGTGACCCGTCTGCTCGTTTGCCCCCTCATACCATAAAAATATATTTATATTTTCCGTAAACGGCAACGCCGACAAAATAGTGATACAATCTTTAAAAAATGACCTACTCACCATACGTTTAAAGTGGGGATGACTTTTTATCGTCTGTCTCATGGTTTTCTTGGATAGATCTCTCAAATAAATTTGAGTGTGTAATATCACCATTTTTCGAATCAATGGGTCACTGAATTTGTGGAACTGTTCAGTTATAAAGCGATTTTTTTTTAGAGTCAAGTGCCTGTTTGCCAGCAAAATGGTCGTTACAGGATTTACAATATACAATTTAAAGAGTTATAGTCTACCAAGTCACAAAATGTACTCTCAATAACAATGTAACAATCAGAAAACATTAAAATTGAAGGAATAAAACATACAGAACGTGACGCAGGACGACGCCTACATTACCATACTTCTTTGTGATGATAATCACACCCGAGCCTCTCCTTCCCTTGCTCCTCAGTAATGGTAATGAGGCTCTTAACATTCCCTCCAGTAATTACAATACTAACTCAACCCTCACCTTTTGTTTTAATTTTATTGTTTTTTAGAAGTGTCTAATGATTCTAAATAATGCATATTGACTTAGAATTTCAAAACAACAGAAGTGCTACTCTGGCTGCAGTACTAGTGTTGGTTTTTAATTAACCAAGAACTAAAAATAACTATTGATAGATCTTTATTACCTGCGGCACGATGGACCCACAATTTGAAGATAGTGGTTGGCAGTGAATGGATGCGGACTGCCAAACCGGTACAGTCACCAACAACTGCTGCTCCTTCGTTCAGCAGTGAACGGTGATAGGCTGATAATGATGATGTTGATAGATTTTTTAATGAATACCTAGAAATCCATGGTATAGAAGTCGCCTAAACAGCATTGTTTATACTGCTATTGGTGATATAACTGATGATAATCATGATGAGTAAAATATATCTTCGTCGTGTGTGATGATTTATTGAATTATATAACGAGCGATATTGAATATTAGGATGAAAATCTTATAGTATCTTCGACGTGTATAATGCCTTTTATTAATATACTAAAAGGTGAAATTACAAACAAAAGTAACCAATACATTCGATGACATGTTTTCTAAACTAAACGTGGCTTAACAATAATGTTTGGTATATAATATTGTAAGGTGGTAATATTAAATCACTACCTATATAACTTTTGAGGAGATCTGATTTGTATAGAAATAATGTAATGTAAAATTTTTACACTTTGCTTGAAAGTATTTACTAAAGCGTTCTGCCTATGGTAAGACTAACAAACATGATAAAACAAAATTATGTTTTTTTTATGGTATAGAAGGCCTCCTTCCATTGAAACCTGTAACTGAAAAGACGCAAGTGCTATGCTTTCTTTTCAATGCTCCGCTCATTGAGTTGGGGGAAATTGGGCCCTTTTTTACCTGTGGAAACCCTCTTGGGCCGTCACCCCACCGGGGTTTGCGGCGGGATAGTGTGACGGAATCGGACCGACTAAAACCATACGGTGTGCCTCTCTGCGCCTGTAATAGGAGGGATCCGGGAACTGCTGTTATTAAGACATCCGGACCAAGGGGCCTCTGGTAACTCCACACACTCTATGAAAAGCAAGGAAATAATTGCCTAACACTTTCTGTGAGGCCGTAGTATCATACCGGTCAGTCGGCCCATATGTGCACATATCCACATATCATCAACATTATCTGTATTATCATTATCTTCTTCTACGACAACAGCATTCATAAAACTTACACAATATGCTTATTTTATTTACAGCGTACCTTAATCTAAATTGTATTTTAATAAAAAAAAAACATTAATAATGTGAATTTCTTCTGAAATTTTGAATCATCTTCTACGACTAGTCTCATACATTATATTTGGCACTCGGTCTTATCTACAACATTAACCTAGACATCAAGCGACACACAGCAAAAGCAACCATTTCGCCATACTCAAATTCATAAATATACTTTATAGGCACCCAACAGAAACCTTAAGGAATATTTTTTTCATTAAAAGGGAATCCTTATTGGATAGGAATTGGTTAAACTCTAACTAATCATATAAAAAAATAAACATGTAGTTAATATTCTTCCGTTCTACATTTAAGTGTTACAAGTTCAGTACTAAGTATCTTTGCAAACTACTCAGTGTTATAATTAAATTACGTTCGTTACTCAATAGTTTTAAAAATATTATAAAACATTTTTCTGATATATGTATGTATATATGTACGTATTCATACAAGCTTCTATTAAACTATTTTTTTAAACGCTATTACTTACCTACATGTAGTTTCTCGTGTCAAACGTCTCTGAAACCAGATGAGTTAGGAAACAGGCACACAATAGTTGGGTATATCGCGTGATTGTCAATTTATTAAAAGTAAGTTCTTAAATTAAACCCATTATCTAACATCAACCGAACATCTGTCAATACTGGTGTAATAAATATACTTTCTAAGGAGTTGCTATGTCCAGCAGTGGACTATTAAAGGCTGTCGATGTGATGTGAAATATACGCGGTTGTATTAACAGTTAACATACTACCTGTTCTTAAAAAGTTAATAAAAAATCCTTACACATGATTTAAAAACATCGTGGACGTACGTTAATGCCATGATCAATTTTAATTATATCAGAAGCCTTTTCTCCGATCATCATAACTGGTGTATTAATGTTACCACTTGGGATCTTTGGTATAATCGACGCATCAACCACTCTTAATCTACCTACGTTATGAACCATCAACCTCTCGTTAACCACTCCATTGGCGCCCATACTGCATGTACCTACTCCATGCTGAATAGAAGTTACACTATTCTTAGCATAACATCTCCAGTATTCATCTGATCCCCACTTAAAATTGTCACAACCTTTTACACGAAGTTTGGCAACTTTACCATTCACTTTCCTAAAATGTGACGTTTTCGCTAACCTGCTCATATATTTTAGCCCTTCTGTTGCAGCAACAAGATCATATTCGTTTCTATAATATCCTAAATTAATTATAGGATCATCAAAATAATTGCTACTTTTCAAAGTTACTTCACCTCTTGATAAAGGATGTAAAAGAACCAATAAAATAAAATCAATTTCATTTAAGGCATTTGCTTTGCTTAAGCTGGCACAGAATGAATTGTCAAGATTAAATATTGTTTTACACCCTATAAAAATGACGGGACTAACAGCGGCTCCAATATAAGTGTTAAAAAACTGGAAATGTGGCTGTAATTTGCTTGGATAACTAAATAAAGTATCGTTGAGTCTGAATAAACCACTTTGTAAAGGTATAGGAACGGTGTCTAGCCGTGATGCCACTAAGATATTTTCAGAGGCAGTATTTAAACCTAATTGCCCTTTAACTGGCATTAGCAACATTTGATGGTCATGAAAATTTTTTCCTACAGGTAAGTCTAATATAAAATCTATACCATGTTTTACCAGTTCATCTATTGGACCTATGCCCGACTGCAGTAGTATTTTTGGACTATTTATTACACCAGCTGAAAGAATTACTTCTTTTTTTGCATACACTTTGATTAAAGTTTTGTCAGCTTTGGCGATTTCTACACCATACGCTACTAATGTTTGAGGATCAATCAAAACTCGGGTTACAGTTGCATATTTTGCTACCTTTAGATTGGATCTATCTTTTGCAGGTCTTAAGTAAGCTTCGGCCGTGCTAGATCTTCTACCATTGAAAATATTCAAATGGGGTCTTGTAGCTCCAAAAATTTCCGGACCATTCAATTCAAGAATTGTTTTAATACCCATTTCTGCGTACGAATTTAGTCTGATATCGTCAATAATAGCAGTTGAACTATATGTCACTGGTCTAGATATTTTTACCGGTCCGTCAGGTGAATGTAGACAT